ACCGGTAGCTGGAGCGGAAATTGTCGTACACCAAGCTAAGAAACGATCACGTTGCCAGACGCGGAGCAGTCGTGGCCAGGCAGCCAGACAAACCAATTCGCGCTCGTGGTCGTAAAGTCGAATAGTCGTAAGTGACATGGGTCGTAAGTCGACAACAAACTGTAGTTGATATCTATCTATATGTTAGATTTCCTATAGCGTTTCATCTACTTTATGTTTATTGCGTAATTGACTTCTGTAGAATAATTTAATTTCTAATTTTAATTCAATTTTGATTTAAATTTTACATTATTTTTATTTGTGTTATTGTTTGTTTTTTTTTTTTTTTTTTTTTTTTCTGATGCTCATTTAATTTGTTTATCGATTATTTGGTTAGGGGATATTATTCCTAATTAATATTTCTTTTATGTTTTCGACGACATTAAAAAAATATTGCGTGTGTAGAAGATATCAAATTTATTAAATTATTTATGTTGATTATTTTTTTTTATCTCCGGTCGAGATCATTAGGTTCATTTTGGCACAAATACCCTCGGGAAATGCAAGAATTCAGCTACTCTCCCCTCAGCTACGGGTTAAATAGTATTGCAGACTGGACCTTATGGCCGTGGTCGGCAACCAGTATAGGAGGAAGACAACTCTGAATTCAAAACTCTGTGTGTTTGTAGTGGGACACATACATGAACTGTAATTAAGGGCCGCTCAGCATAGTTACAGTGTTGCTTGATTTTTTACGGCTTATCAACCTTTTATGGGTTATTTAAAACCAGAAAATATTTGTAGATTGTAAGAATTTTAGAAGAGATTATAATGACTTTTACAGATAAAAGTCACACGAATTAAAGATCGGAACGAGAAATCGGCGAGCTGAGTTCGAATTCCGGTCGTGTTCATTACATTCACTTTCACATCCTCGGAAAAGGCAGGAATTCATCTCTTCTCCCTCACCTATGGGTTAAATAGTAAGACAGACTGGACTCTCTACCCCCCACCCCCGTGTTGGGTATGACGATAAACTACGTCCAACAGCAAGGCCTCTGATCAGGAGGTTTTGAGAAGCGTGGAACTACCTCTTGCTGATGTTCTCAGGTACACTCTGACCTGGGTTGGTAGCATCTGTTAGGGTCCCAGCCATGGGTAAATAGTTAACCCATAAACTGGGGTTAAAATATTATGAAAGTATAAAAATAGGTTTTAATATCAGAAATACTTTGTAAAAAAATTATTAACAGCCATACATTTAAAAAAAAAAACATTACCAGCAATAAAAATCTTGAGGTTAATATGCCATAAAACAAAATAAACCAAACCTGATCTATTAGGTTGGTGCAAAAATAATGACATAATAATGTCGTTTTTTGACGTTAAAAAATACGTCAAAAAACGACATTATTACGTCATTATTTTTGCACCAACCTAATACAAACTGATTTCTTATAAAGAATACATATGCTGTTCATACGAATCTATCCTAAAAATCTTGTCTTCATTAAATAACCCAGTGAGGTTGATACGCCGTAAAACAAAACAAAACAAACTCTCAACTCTGAATTCAAAAGTGTGTGTGTCTTTTATGGGCCCCAAACATGAACTGTAATTAAGGTACGCTCAGCATAGTTGCAGTATAAAGAATCTCAACATGGGTCCTTTAGCCCAAAAGTGGGCCTGAGAAATAATTTAAATGGGTTTGGAGACATCAGGAACAGTGTAGTCATTAGTCAGGATTTTCTACGACATTTTGCTTTTCTAAAAGATCCTGGCATCTATCAGAGTGATGAAATTTAAATTTTTTATTATTACATTATTCCAAAATTTTAACACATCAGCAGATAGCTATTAATATCAACAACTGAGCACAAATAGTTATTAATTAAAAAAATTAGTAATTAATGTATAATATTATCCATAACTACATGTGCAAGAATGTCGTTTTGATAAAAGTTAAAAAAATAACCATAAATAGGTAAAAAGTGTATATATTGTGGAAAATTCCTTGTTCCACAATATAGCTATTTGTGCTGTTATAATGCTTATTACCTAAACAATAATAATACTGAATTATTGTTTTTAATCATTAAAGTACATTTAATTACATTTCCTTAAGAACTGTCGCGATCTGTAAATAAAATGTAGTTCCTGTTAGATGGAATTTCTATTTGTGCTTAAGTAGCCTGAATTTATTTTTACGCCAAAAGTGGACCACAAGGAAGAAAAGGTTGAGAAACACTGGAACCAAAGGTTGGCTCTGTGGATGTAAATATCCACGAATCGGCTTGAACATAATAGGAAATGAGCTGTCACGCTGAAGATGAGAAATTACACTGATTTACAGTAGCTTTTTCAAGTCGAAACCTCTCTGATGGCGATGGTTTTTGTATCTATGTAGGCATTCATTTTTGTAATTAACTAGGCGTTAATTTAAATTGCTGGACTTCTTTTTTTTTTTTTTTTTTAAATAAATGGAGGTTTTAAAATTTTAACCAATTAAGTTAATTGAAACAATTAGGAAAGGAATTCTATTATTTATGTTCCGACCATATGTGAAATTAAGAACGGAGTTTTTTTTTTTTTTGTTTGTTCTTGTTTTTGACTTTTTCAGTGTTGTTTGTCAGAATGAATATATGTCCTCAACGAAGTATATACAGGTTATAACAGCAAAATTGTCCAAATTGTGTAACAGCATAATTGTCCATCCCACGAACTGTTTAATATCTAAAAAAATACTAAACTAATTGAGTTCCTTTTTTCTAGGTTTTCAGATAAGACGTTTAGCCATCTTGACACCATTTCTCGTAAGAATCAATGAAAAAACCCTTTGAGTTATTCAGCTAGAAAAAGAACAGGTTAAAATCGTTTTGTACCAGCCCAACTGTCTTCCCAACTGAGCAATGGTAAGAGGAAAAAGATCATTCAGGACTTCAGTAATGATACCGACATTCATACTCTGGCTTCCACCTTCAAAGACCATTCAAGAAGCATCAAGAGAACGGCAAATAAGTTTTAAAAAGAGTGAACGTTAGTGAGGAACATTCGAATAAGGATCATCATTTCAACTTAGAGCTAAACAGATCAATTAGATCCAACTCAATCCATAAGATGTTTGGCACGTGAGAGAGTAGTTTCAGCAATGACAGTCCAAAGAGCAGTGAAAAAAGACTTGAAAATAAAATCGTACCTGAAACCTGTAAGGCACCTTGTTACTCCAGGACAGAAAGTTAGAAGGTTAGAAAGGGCGAAGATCATTTTGAATAAGTTTGAAAATGATCCTGGAATAATATATATGATGAATCTTAATTTTTAAGTTAATGATTGAGTAGGTGCATAACGTGTTCTACGACAATGAAATATCCGTAAAAATCCCCCTATCGCATAGTTAAATATTTGAGCTTAACAACTTTAACAAAATATTGTGATAACAATCATAATTATGAATGTTGGTCGTTATTTTAAGAAGTGGATACAAATGAACAAATTTGAAATTGACAACTTTCACTGTAACAAACTTTTATCACTTCTAATTTCTCTTTCTTTCTTTTGTTTACTCTTTCTTTCTTTCTTTCTTTCTGTCACTGAAAGCGAGTAGCGTTTCTGATATGTCTTTTCTGTCTTTCCATGCGGTCAAAACGGAATAGTCCATTGTTTATGCGGTATTGGCAGGGCGTAACGGTCGTGCTAACTAAGGGACAAGGTGAATTATGTTAACATGATCTTTCTTTTTTTTTTTAATCTCGACTCTTAGAGATGCAGTGTTTGTGGATTAATGATTGAATAAGCTCATAGCGAGTTCTACGACAATAAAATATCCGTAGAAATTCCTCTATCACATCATTAAATATTTGAGCTTAACAACTTTAACAAAATATTGCAATAACAATCATAAATATGAATGCCGGTTGTTATTTTAAGCAGTAAGAGGGTAGAAATGAAGATTTGGAACTGACAGCATTTTCTATTTCACTGAAACAGACGTTAAGCACTTCTATATTTCCTTTTCTCTCTGAAACCAAGTAACGTCTCTGATATGTCTTTTCTGTTTTTCCACGCCATCAAAACGGAATAGTCCATTATTTATGAGGTATTGGCAGGTGATATTAAATGCTTCTATCTCCCTTTCTTTCTTTCATTCTTTATTTCTTTCTTTCTTTTACTGAAGCCAAATCTTTTCCGTATTTCCACGCAATCAAAACGGAATAGTCCATTACTCATTAGGTGTTGGTTGGCAACAGACGTTAAACACTTCTGTCTTACTTTCTTTCATGCATTCGTTTTTCATACATTCATTCTTTCTTTCTTTCAATGAAACCAAGAATCGTCTCTAACATATCCTTTCCATCTAGCCAGCGATCAAATCGGAATAGTCCATTATTTATTAGGTATTGGCAGGGCGTAACAGTCGAGCTAACTAAGGGATCGTCAAGCAGAATTATCATATAAATATACGAATATCCTGAATGGTTTACTAAGATTGATTGGTTAGTAACAATTTTATTGTAAAAACATTGACTATCTATCTATCTATCTATCTATCTATCTATCTATCTTTTTCTTTATGTGCAACTGTACTAGTCTTACATTATTGTTGTGTTTTTTCTTCCTCTTAATTCTCTCTTTTCTTCTCACTTTTGCAGCACCCGTATCTTCAATGATTACCTTACATCCTACTTTACTATCTACCCCGATTATTGTACTTAGCCTTTAACGCCACCCGCCATTCTGTCCTCTTAGATTAAAACCACGTTAAAGAAAAAAAAACTTGGTTATCTTGAATCTTTCTTTTTAAACGTGGGAAACAAAACAAAACAAAAAAATAAGAGAAGAGAAATGAAAATAAAATGCGCCCAGGAAGAAAAACAAATGAAAGAAAGACGAGAGAAGAAAAATTAAACAGAAAAGAAAAAGAAAGAAATTAGGAAGAAAAAGAAAAAGGAACAGAAGAAATCGCATGAAAAATCAAATAAAAAAATAAAAAAAAGAGAAATTACAGAAATAAAAAAAACTAACTAAGAAAAAAATAGAAAATAAGGAAAGAAATGTTGAAGAAAAGAAAAAGAAAAGAAAAAGATAAAAGAAAAAGATCGAAAAATAAAAAAAGACCAAAAAAAAAAAAAAAAAAACAATGAAAGAGAAAATAACGAAGAAAAGGTGAAAGGAAAAGGAAACGAAGGAAGAAAGATATAAGAAGTGAAAAGACAACTAAAAATACAACAAAGAAAGAAAAAAGAAGAAAAAGAAAATAAAAAAGAATGAAGAAAAAAGAAAAGGAAAAGGAGAAAGAAAAATAGAAATAAAAGAAAAAAGAAAGAAAACAAAAAGAGATAAAAAATAGGGCAAAAGAACACGAAGAAAGAAAGAGTAAACGTAAAAGAAAAGAAAAAGTAAAGAAAAAAGAAACAAAGAAGGAAAAAGAGAAGAATACGCAAAAAGAAAAGTAAGAATATAAAGAAATGACGAAAGAAAAAGAAAGGCGAAAAAGAAAATGAGAAAAGAAAAAAAAAATAGAAAAAAAAAGAAGCTCCAATCATGTCTGGAAAAGAAGGGGGAAAAGTATAGAAGGCAGGTAAGTCATTTTGGGGCTGACTGGCTTTTCCGTCACCCTTTGCGTCGTCTTTGCTGCATTTTATTTCTTTGGAATTGGCCCGAAGCAGAAAAGAAAAGAGAATCGTTTACAATAAAGACGCGTTTATATTCGACAAGGGAAGCATCCTAGGGCAGGCTGACTATCATTTACTTGCGGAGGTTTGAAAAGAAAGGTTATCAAAAGAAAAATTGAAACGTTTTGTACTACGAGGAATAGTTGGGGGTGGGTGTATGAACAGATGCGTGTATGTGTGAATGTGTGCTCGAAGGGTTGTTGAAAAGTCCTCGGCCCGACTCTCTTCGTAGAATCAGCATTTCCATGACCAAACACCAGGTTTCGGAAAGTGGGTTGAGCCGAGAATATTTCTCCACATTTTTGACATTTGTCATTTTCAGTCATTTCATAGTGTCATTCTGCCAACACACACACACACACACACACACACACACACACACAACATCATCGCCCACTACAGAATATATATATATATATATATATAAGGATTACGCCCCGAGCAAGGCGTGAAGCCACTAGGATGCAGGGGTTGCAGAAGATTTGGAGCAAGAGCAGATAGGAGTGATAGAAGAAAGGATGAGGAGAGGGATAGTGGGTAGATCAAGGTAACTGGAGGTGTCGATTGACATTACATTTGAATAGTTGGAGATTATAGCTCTCAGGGAAACAGTAATTGGGAAGGGTGTTCCACAGACGAGAGGTGCGAGGTATGAAGCTATTGAAGTAGAAGAGACGGCTACATTTAAAAGTTTCTACAGTGTAAGGGTGGGAGCGGGATGCCAGCCTCGTAGGGCGCTTGAATTCATGGAGTCTGGGAACCAGTGAAAGCAGCTCATCGGAGCAATTAGCATGAAAGTATTTGTAGAAAAGACAGAGAGAGGCGACGGCGCGTCTGTGAGAGAGTGACTGTAGACAAGACGCCAGATCAGGGCCAATTATATTACATATCCGTCTCTGGATCTTGTCAAGAACTCCGAGGTAAACAGAAGGTGCCCCAGACCATATATGGCAGCAATACTCCATGCAAGGGCGAATGGTTGATTTGTATATTTGAAGTATCGATTCAGGGGAGAAAAATTTCCTGGCGCGGCACAGAGAGTCAACTTTCCTCGCGGTGGAAGAAGTAATTGACTCAATGTATTTGTTCCATCTCAGGTCAGCAGTCAACGTGAGACCGAGCAGACGCAGGGAGTTGCTCTCAAGAAGTTGACTATCAGACATTCTAATGGGGGGCAGGGAAGGATCTCTATGGTGATTAATAGAGAGAAGTTTAGTTCTTGAGGCGTTAAAGTTGACCCAATTAACAACTGATTGGAAGTCCATTTCAAGACGCACGGCCAGGTTAGTTTTGTCACCGACACTAGATTTGTTTTCGAGGCAGGAGTAAATTGTAGTGTCGTCCGCGTAGATGCCAACTTGGGAATCTATGGCGTCAGGAAGGTCGTTGATGAAAATAAGGAATAGAGTGGGGCCAAGGATGGAGCCTTGGGGAACACCTGCGTTCGTGGGATAGGAACTGGAGGAGAATCCGTTGAGAACGATTCACGGTTTGACAGGAATGATTAAATATGTATGTATGAATATATATATATATATATATATATATATATATATATATATATATATAGTGAGAGAGAGAGAGAGAAACGTATCAGCATAGTTGCAGTATAAACCACAGGTTGGTACTGTGGGTTTTGAACAAACACAAATATGCCTGAGCGATCGTCTACAATAGGGATTGGCTAGGCTCCCTAATAGACGGGTATCCTCGAATACGAGTGGCCAGCAATTATATATATATATATATATATATATATATCTCGTCTGATGATCGCAAAAGCGGAAAACCCAGGTTTACAAACTCATATTCATACGTCTGAATATGTTAGCTCTATCACTGATATTGTACGCTTTTCAGTACCGTGCATATATATATATATATATAGAGAGAATTATATACATATATATATATATATATATATATATATATATATATATATATATATATATATATATATAATATAATATAATTTATATATTTATAATAATATAATATAATACGTTAATAATATAATATAATTTAAACAGTCTGTCTGTGGATGACATTATATATATATATATATATATATATATATATATATATATATATATATATATATAAAGAAATATAGTCTTAAGGTGTGCTATATTTATGGATAAAGTGCTCAATATCAGAGATAGAAATTTGTAAATATAAAAGTGCATAGAAGTCGTCAGGCCAAGACGATTGCATATAGCATGAAACAACGTCAGGCTCAAGACGTTGCTTTATGTTCATTTATATTTATATATATATATATATATATATATATATATGTATGTATGTGTGTGTGTGTCTGTGTGTGTGTGTGTGTGTGTTTCATTGATTAATATAGACATATTGTGTCTACTTATTTTGATACTGATCTTTTTACGCTTGTCTAATCAGTTTCTTGATGTTAATATGAAATTCATCAAGGAAGGTGCCGTGTCAATCCAAGTACTTTCGATCTTTTCCAAGATCATCTTCAAGGATAAATTACAAAGACAATCTTGTAAATGCGATAAAATCTGCATTCCTTTGTAATGATTATTTTTTACTGCCTGTAACATTTAATGTCATTTTACATTTCTACCAATTTTTGATCAGCTCCCTTATACTGAAAAGCCTGTTTGCAAAAAATTACATAGCTACAACGGATACATTTTATCGCCGTTACATTAAGTTTTGTAATTTACCCCTGAAGATGATCTTGGAAAACATCTCGATAGTACTGGGGTTAACAAAAACTACAGCACCTCCCTTGATAAATTTCATATTAACATCTAGAAACTGATTAGAAAAGATCAGTGGAAAAGATCAGTATCAAAATAAGTAGACACAATATGTCTTTTACAGTGCCATTTCTGGCAACATGTGACCGAACATTTTCTTGAAGCAGAATTGGACCTCACCGATAAACTAGTTCACTGAACTGAATGTGTCTTTCACGGAGTTGCTTGCAGTAAACCTCGGCACTGGTTAGATTCCGGAAAGCTGTAATAAATAACGCCAATGCCAGACCAGCAGACAGTCACCATAATCTTCTGTTGGTGCCACATCCGTTATGGAAAGTGTTCGGATACTTCGACAAGATCAAGACATTGAGCCGATCCTTATCAGCTGTCATAAAAGAACAATTTCTCATCGCAATTCAGTATTCAATCAAGAAATGACTCATTCGAATTTCGCAGATGCAGCATCGAACAGACTTCAGAACTTCGAACTCTTTGACGTTCACTGATTTCACATGTAACCCATTTACAGAGTTTCTTCACCTTACCCATTTTCTTGAGCTGATCCGATATTGTTGAAATTGGAACACTCATTATCTGAGATGTTTCTCTTATACTTTGATGTGGGTTTTGTTAGACTAGTGTTTTAAAAATGTTGATTGTCAATTGCAGATGTAAGTCAAAATATACATTTCTACCATCGACTTCCAAGGCGATTTATGCCTTTACAATAAAATCTTAAATGTCTGGTCACCGAGAAATCTTTGAATCCAGTTTCTGTATCTTTTTAATGGTATGTCTTTGGAATAGAAGATTATCAAGACGCTTGAAAAAGTGGTAGTCAGTGAGCGAGAGATCAGGGGAATATGGTGGGTGTGGCAAAGTCTTGTATCCCAAGTCGGTGTGCTTCTGCAGTGCCATCCTGGCAGCATGTGGCAGAACATTGTTATGAAGTAGAATTGGACCTCGTCTATTAACCAGTGTCAGTCGCATTTCTCTGAATGTGCATTTAACCCATTTGCTGTCAGTAAACTTCAGTCGTGATATCCCAGTTAGATTCCAAAAAGGTGTAATGGATAACGTCAATTTCAGACCAGCAGAAAGTCACCATAATCTTCCGTTGGTACCATTTCATTTATGGAAAGTGTTTGGATACTTCGTCAAGATCAAGTCAATGAGCCGATCCTTAACAATTGTCATAAAAGAACCATTTCTCATCGCAATTCACTATTCAATCAAGAAATGGCTCATTCGAATTTCACAGATGCAGCATCGAACAGACTTCAAAACGTCGAACTCTTTGACGTTCTCAGAGTTTATAAGGAATCCATTTATCGAGATTCTTCACCTTACCAATTTTCTTGAGATGATCCGATATTGTTGAAATTGGAACACTCATTATCTGATCCGTTTCTGTTATAATTTGACGTGGGTTTTGTTCGACTAGTGTTTTAAAATGTTGATTGTCAATTGATATTCAAGACTCCCCATTGGAGACCTTCCTAAGCCAGCGCTGTCCGATCATAAGTAGACCCTTTTGCACTGTATTTTAGTGTTTCCTTTTGATCAAGCCATTGAGTCGATCGTTTAAGATTGTCGTAAAGGATCCATTTTTCATCATAATTTACTATTCGATAAGGAAATGAATTATTTGAATTTCTCATCAAACACACTTCAAAACATCGAAATATTTTCCCTGAGTTCATGTGTAACCATTTATCGAGAATTGTCACTTTGCCAATTTTCTAGAATTATTATTGAAATGTTAACACCCATTATCTCAGACATTTATCAGACACTTGGATTTTGTTTGATTAGTATTTTCAGATGTTGATTGTCACATGCAGATGTAGATCCACCACCATCTTAATCTTCAAGACTCGTATCCCCACTGCGGAACTTCAGAAACAAGCACCATACTATCCGATCACAAGTGGATCCTTCACATGTACCGTTAATGTTGACAGTAGTTTGAGAAGCATTATGACCAAGCTTAAATTCATGCAAAAAAAAAAGCAAATGCATCTCTTCTTTTTTTAGGTTTAAGATGAAGGGTAGATAATGTTTCAAGTAAAATTATGAAAGAGATTTATATAAAATTAACAAAGAGGACATATTAATCATTAGGAATGAGTAAT